TTCTCTAAGAACTTGTCCATTTCTTCCAAGTTGTCCATTTTATTGGCATAGAGCTGCTGGTAGTAGTCTCTTATGATCCTTTGTATTTCGGTGTTGTCTGTTGTGATCTCTCCATTTTCGTTTCTAATTTTGTTAATTTGGTTCTTCTCCCTTTGTTTCTTAATAAGTCTTGCTAATGGTTTGTCAATTTTGTTTATTTTTTCAAAAAACCAGCTTTTAGCTTTGTTAATTTTTGCTATGATCTCTTTAGTTTCTTTTGCATTTATTTCTGCCCTAATTTTTAAGATTTCTTTCCTTCTACTAACCCTGGGGTTCTTCATTTCTTCCTCCTCTAGTTGCTTTAGGTGTAGAGTTAGGTTATTTATTTGACTTTTTTCTTGTTTCTTGAGGTAGGCCTGTAATGCTATGAATCTTCCCCTTAGCACTGCCTTTACAGTGTCCCATAGGTTTTGGGTTGTTGTGTTTTCATTTTCATTCATTTCTATGCATATTTTTATTTCTTTTTTGATTTCTTCTATGATTTGTTGGTTATTCAGAAGCGTGTTGTTTAGCCTCCATATGTTTGAATTTTTAATAATTTTTTTCCTGTAATTAAGATCTAATCTTACTGCACTGTGGTCAGAAAAGATGACTGGAATGATTTCAATCTTTTTGAATTTACCAAGACTAGATTTATGGCCCAGGATGTGATCTATTCTGGAGAAGGTTCCGTGTGCACTTGAGAAAAAGGTGAAGTTGATTGTTTTGGGGTGAAACGTCCTATAGATGTCAATTAGGTCTAGCTGGTCCATTGTGTCCTTTAAAGTTACACAATTAGCATCTTAAAGCCATCGGGGGTAGTGTAACATCATTGCCAGTTTTCATACTGATAAATAAAGCTCTTGAAAAGTAAAACTCCAAAGTTAAATGTATAAAGTATCTGCAATCATGTCATAAATGTTATCTGCTTTTAAAAATTAAGAGAACAAGATTATTTCATAAGTGCAACCTCCTTTGATGAGATGAATATCAACCTGAAAATGCAATGATGAAAGAGTCTAATTGGAAAATGGTTGAGAGAATATTTCTGTTGAACTTCTTTATAGTGCTACCTCTACTCAAGAAGACAGAGTGATTGGCTCAGAGTTGAATAGCAGGTCAAGATCAAAACTGGAGATCCAGGAACAGGCAAAGCACAGGAGACTAATATACAAATATTGACTTTGTAGGGAAGGAATTTTGAATAGACCAAACTTAGAAAAAAATCACTTGAAATAATGTATGCCTGCAAATTTAAAAATTTAACTTGTTTTTAGAAATCTGCAATTTGATAGCTTTATTAAGTTATAATTACATACAATAAACTGTACATTTGCAAAATGTACAATTTGATGAGTTTTGACATATGTTTATATCTGTGAAACCATGACCACAATCAAAATCCATCAATCTCGAAAAGTTTCCTCAGGACCCTTCTCATTCTTGTTCCTTCTCCCAGGGAAACTGACCTCCTTTTTAAAAGATGTCTAAATTTTTTTTTAATTATCATTGAAAACATAACATAAAAATTACTACTATTTTAAGGCTATAATAAAGATTAGAACAGAAATTAATGAAATTGAGAATAGAAAAAGATTTTTTAAGTCAGTAAAACTAACGGCTGCTTTATTTAAAAGAACAACAAAATTGAGAAACCTTTGGTTAGATTAAGAAAAAAATAACTAAAATCAGAAATGAAAAGGGGGGCATTTCAACCAATGCCACATAATTAAAAAGGATTATAAGAGAATACTATGAACAATTGTATGCCAACAAATTGGATAAAATTCCTAGAAATCTGCCAGAACTAAATTATGAAGAAAAAGAAAATCTGAAAATACCAATAACTCGTAAGGAAATTGAATCAGTAAAAAAAAAACCTCCCAACAGATCTCTGAGCTCTCAGACATCAGGGGCTAGAGCATCAGGAAGACTAACAATTGTAACCAAAAAATAAACCATGTTTCAAAAACCTGTATTACGGGTATTTCCTAGGTTGATGAGTCTCAAATAACTAGCAGTTTGGTTCTCAAAAGATCTCTGAATTGTGTGCAGCTATTTGGGCAAGTGAGTCAGGACTCTGTCATGAGACAGGTGACAAGGGAAAATCCAGCAACAGGGTTTTCTCTAGCAATGAATGAGATGTTGTGATCAGGGGAAACTGAGATATGGGCAATGTCAGTCAAAAGACAACATGGCACAGAATATCAGCTTTCTGGCCAGGCCTCAGAGACTTGGCAGAACAGTATGTGAAAAGGGGGTCTTGAATTTATATGGAAGGGAAAGTAGGTGCAACTAAATGCACAAATAAAAAATAACTGGAAGTGACAAGCAAAAACCACTAGCTGATGTATTTCTGAGTGACCCAACAAAAGAGAAGGCACAGAATGGATGATTCTTCTGCAGCCATTGTTTGGTACAGTCTCATTTCCAAATAGAATATAGTCTTTATTGTTTCTAATGACAGGGAGATATATACAGAGAGAGACAGATGGATATATATCTCCCAACAAAGAAAAACTCAAGACCAGATATTACTGAAGAAGTCTACCAAACATTTAAAGAAGTAATTAACTATAGTTCTTCTCAAACGCTTGTGAAAAAATTGAGCAGAAGGGAACACATCCAAATTCATTCTCTGAGGGTAGCACTACCCTGATACCAAAACCAGATAAAGACACTACCAGAAAACTACAGATTAATTTCCCTGATGAATATTAATGCAAAAACCTTCAACAAAACACTAGCAAACTACATTGAAAAGCACATTTAAAAGGGTTATACACCATGACTGAGCCGGATTTATTCCTGAGATGCAAGAATTGTTCAACATATGAAAATCAACATAATAGACCAAATTCACAAAATGAAGGACAAGAAACACATGATCATCTCAACTTTTGCAGAAAAAATATTTGACAAGTTCTCTCATCCCTTCATGGTAAAGACAGCCAAATAGGAGTTGAAGGAAACTACCTTCATAATAAAGCCAACATATAAAAAGCCTGCAGCTAATATCATACTCAATGGTGAAAAACTGAAAACTCTTCCTCTGAGATCAAGAATAAGACAAGGATGCCCACTTTAACCACTTCTCTTCAACACAGTGCTATCACTACTTGCCAGTACAATTAAACAAGAAAAAGAAGGAATAAAAGGCATCTAAATTGGAAAGGAAGAAGTAAAATTTTCTATATGAAATTACTCATCACAAAAGGACAAATGGTGTATGATTTCACTTATATGGGGGATCTAAAGTAGTAAAATTCATAGAGACAGAAAGTAAAATAGTAGTTGCCAGGGGTTAGGGAGAAGGGACAATGGGGACTTGTTTAATGGATATAGATTTTCAGTTTTGTAAGATTAAAATGTTCTGAACATGTTTCAAACAATGTAAATGTACTAAACATTAATGAACTGTACACTAAAACTAGTCAAGACGGCAAATTTTATTTGTTTCACCACACACAGCAATTCTATAAATAAATAAACTGACTATCCCAAGTCTTAATAACAATGTGAAGGACTGGAACTCTCATTCACTGTTAGTGGGAATACCAAATGGCACGACCAAATGGCAAGACTTTGGAGATTTTTTTTTTGTACTATTTTTGAAGTTTTTATTGGAGTATAGTTGCTTTACAACGTTGCGGTGGTTTCTAGTGAACAGCAAAGTGCATCAGTTACATGTACACATATATCCTCTCTTTTTAAAGCTTCCTTCCCATTTAGGTCATGAGAGAGCACTGAGTCGAGCTTCCTGAGATATACAGTAGGTGCTTATAGTTATCTGTTTTATATACAGCAGTGTATATATGTCAGTCCCAACCTCCCAATTCATCCCACCCACCTCCTTTCCCTTGGTACACTTTGGCAATCTTGTAAAAACTAAAAGTACATCTCCTATTCCACGCTAGAAATGTGCCCAAGAGAAATTAAAGCATAACTCTATAAAAAAACATATAAGAATGTTCAAGTAGCTTGATTTGTAATAATCAAAAGCTGGTAACAACTCAAATATATATCAACAGTGAATAAATAAATTGTGTCTATTCATACAATGACATATTACATACAAAATAGGTATACTTTTGATATATCATTTATGGAGTTTGGGTTATGTACCAAGAACTGTGCTAAATGCTTTAAACATGAAATCACAACTCTATGAGGTAGCAATAATTAGCCTTATTTTACAGATGATGAAATTGAGTTTGGAAAAGTTGAGTAGCACCAAGTTACACAGTTATACTGTGCCAAAGCCAGAATTTGAACTTAGGTATAGAGTAATGCCAAAGATAGAATGAATAATCATTATAGTATATTTCTTGACTTCAACAGGAGGAATACACTAATAAGCTAATAGCAAACCTCTCAGTTGAAGAATTCCTTAGAAAAAGGATGCTCTGGACCTCTGGCTATTCACCAGTGGTATTAACTGACATATAGAACAATGGTTGAGTATGTGGACCATAATGATTATAAACGTATTGTGAATTCTCACGGTTACTTCCCTAGTTGTGTGAGCTATTTAATCTCTGTTTCTTTTTCTTTAGGATGGAGATAATTGAGTCTACTTCTGTTTCTGATTGTATTTATAACAGTTCCCTGAAAGTAGAGTTTTACTTTAACTCCTTAAATTTAACTTTGAATGCTTCCAATCTCTGTTAAGGGAGATAAGCCACTTTTTTAAAAACTTCATTCAATTTAATGTATCAGAAACGTGCTCTGTGCAATGCCCTGGGCTAGGCACTGTGTTGGGGATCAAAGCTGAGTCAGATGGCAGAATCTCTCTCCTTAGGAATTTTGCAGTCTATTAAGCAAAATGCCTTGTTGGCCGATTCAATATTGTTAATATTTACATATCCTGTGCTTTGTGACTGATTGGACTTTAAAAATTTGACTCTGTATCACTCTAACCTATTTTGCATTATGATGTACTTCCAGTGTGGCTTACTAAGTAGTAAAGAGTCTGCCTGCCAATGCAAGAGACTCCGGAGACATGGATTCTATCCCTGGGTCAGAAAGATATCCTGGAGGAAGGCAACCCACTCCAGTATTCTTGCCTGGAGAATCCCCTGGACAGAGGAGCCTGGCGGAATACAGTCCACAGGGCTGCAAAGAGCTGGACACGACTGAAGCACACAATTCACAGAGGTCTGCTCTTTGGAACTCAGGGAAGGTCTAGAAGGGTGAAGCCTTTTCCCTACAAACAAGAAATGAGGGACACAGAAAGGCTTTGTACCCAGGAAGGCCCCACAGAGACCTGCTCTGTCTCAATATTTCATTTCCTTTTACTTCTGAAACTTAGTGAAAGTTACTAAGTTAAATCCACTTTGAAATAAAGTTTAAGCATTTTAAGCATCATCAAACATAACTTCTAGATATTGTAATATTATATGCAGAAACCAACACACCCCTTTAGTGAGGATCAGAAGAAATCAAAGGTTATCGTGGCTTAAGGCAAGTTTTGGGAGTTATGTAGGTGACCGCGTCTGCTTATGAGAAAAACTTACTCACATTGGAGCTGGTAACTGTAGGACAGCTGCATCTATTGAAGATTGAAGCTAAAGCTAGGTTCAGTTTTGGCACAGTGAAACTTGTCTGAATTGATCACTTGACCCCTCATCAGTGTTGGCTTTGGGAAAGGGCAAATAGCACAACTACATCAGGTTCTGTAAGTTAGCGATCAGCATTGTGAGAAAAGCTATGTAGTAGAAATCTGTTATGGGTTATGTCGACTGAAAAACTCACAACCTAAAAGTTGAGGATTAGGGTTTATTCAGCAGACACTGAGGCTGAGAGACACTCTCTCATAGCTCTGAGGGGCTCTTCTGAAGAGGACATATAGGAGGATATAAGGGAGGATATATAGGAGGATATAAGGGAGGATATATAGGAAATTTTGCAAACAAACCCCAACAAACCGTCATGGTCATAACATCCAAAGACCACTGTTACTTGCCTGGTGATCCAGTGGCTAAGACTCTGCACCCGCAATGCAGGGGGGCACAGGTTTGATCCCTGGTCAGGGAACTAGATCCCACAAGCTGCAACTTAAGAGTTCACACACCACAACTAAAGATCCCATGTGCTGCAACTAAAACCTGTTGCAGCCAAATAAATAAATACACAAATATATATTTTTTAAACTGATTACTGTTACTTAAAAAACATATCTCAAGTTAATAAATTTAGTACTTTTCTATGTATGGGAAGATGCAAGAATCTGGACTCTTTGAAATCATCCCTTTGACATGCACCTTAACTATCTAGGGCCAGGGTTTAGTTTTCCTCATCCTGAATTCTCTCAATGTGCCCCACAGGGGGGTGGCTGCAGTGGCTGATGGCTTTAGGACAAGGCAGTCATGATATTCTTTGTCCACAGCTGAAATGTGTCCCCCAGACGTTCATATGTGAAGCCTTAACCCATGATAGCTTAGAATGTGACCTTATATGGAAATGGGATTGTTAACTTACATAGTTAAGGTGAGGTCAGTCGGTTGGGTCCCTAATCCAATATGACTGGTGTCCTCATGAAAAGGGGAAATTTGGGGAAAGGGATTCACACATGGGGAGAATACCATGGAAGAGCAGTTATGCAGCCTTAAACCAAGGAACCAGCAGAAGCTGGCAGTGGAGGGAGACTGAGAACAAATATTTCCCTGCACATTCAGAGAGCTTTTGGCCCTGCTGACACCTTCATCTTAGCCTTCTAGCCTCTAGGGCTGTGAGATAGTAAGTTTCTGTTATTACAACCACTCAATATGTGTACTTTGTTACAGCACCATGGCAAACTAATACAAGACAGGAAGGGAATTCTGTTCTTCTATTTTTTTTTTTCTTCTTTAATGTTACACTAATGTTAGAACTCTTCTGAAACACTCATGGTGGGGAAAAAAAAAAAAGCATGAACCAAGGCATTGTGTCCCCAAAACACAAGTAGTGAGGCTTAGGCTGGAGGGTTCAATAAGAATTTTAGCCTAACTGTCTTCCTTACAGAACACCCCTGACAACCTTGACTTAAATGGTTTCCCACCCCCGCCCATCCCTCTGTATCTCATCGGATTTATTTCCCTCTTAGCTACATCACAAACTGTAATTCTTCTGCTTATTTACCTATTTATTTGTCTATTGTCTACAAGGGTAGTCTGTTATTCAGATATATATCCCAAGTGCATGCTCAATAAATATTTGTTGGAAGGAAGGGAGAACAAGAGATAGAAGGGATGTGTGTGTGTGTGTGTGTGTGTGTGTGTGTGTGCGCGCGCGCTCAGTCATGCTCTTTGGGACCTCATGGACTGCAGCCCACCAGGCTCCTCTGTCCTTGGGATTATCCAGGTAAGAATACTAGAGTGGGTTGCCATTTCCTCCTCTAGGGGATCTTCCGAACCTGGGGACCATGTCCCCTGCATTGCAGGCAGATTCTTTACTACTGAGCTGCCTGCGAAGCCCCTGAAGGGAAGGAGGAAAATGAATGAAGGGAGGGTAGAGGAGTACCAGTAGGTCAGGTCAGGATGTAGTGTGGAACCGTAGCATGAAGAGGTTCTTAGAATGGCAGACTAGAGACCCCAAAGGAGACCTCTGAATCACTGCTCCTGGGGAAAGATTTGGTATTTGTATATACAACGGTCACTTCTGATGAGCCTCAGGCAAATTCGGGAAAGACTACATCACAGTGGTTCTTAAAGTACGGTGCCTTGATCAGCAGCATCAGTATCACCTTGGAACTTGTTAGAAAGGCAATTTCTCAGTCCCCACTCCAGACCTACTGACTCAGAATCTGCATTTTAACAAGGTCCTCAGATGATTGAAAACTGAGAGTCAAAATCCTGCCTCTTACTATACCATACACTCTTAATCCATTTGAGCTACTCTAACAAAAATACATAAACTCAGTAGCTTGAGTAACAAGCATTTGTTTCTTTAAATTCTGGAGACTGAAAAGTTTAAGATCTATAAATACCTGTCTTTTGGCTGTATCTTCACAGGGCCGAAGGGGGAAGGGAGCTCTCTGGGGTCTTTTTTTATAAGACACTAATCCCTTTCTTAAGGGCTCCACCCTCATGACCTAATTACCTCCCAGAGACCCCCACACCTCCAAATATCATCACACTGGCAATTAGCTTTCAACTTACTGGTTTTGGGGACATAAAAAATTGAGTCTATAGCATACTTTGATGTCCTTTTACTGCTTTGCTTCTTCTAGGCCTGAGTAGAGAATTGGGCTAAATGTACTCTGAAGTAATGGGAATCTTAGCACAGAAATCAGAGATATAAATATTTCCACCCTATTTGGGACCTATAGATAGATCTCAGGCCTCAATCATGAGAGTTCCTTAAAATTGCAACACACAAGTAGTCTTTTAAACAGCAGTTATTCTGGGACATTCCAGTCTGAAGCCAAAAATGATCTCCCACCCAAGAAAGGAACTAAAAAAAAAAACACCAGTGACAGTAAATCACCACAATTAGGAAAAAAGGACAAGGAAGAAATAAATCACACAAATAAACTCAGAGAAATAATCTGTCCATTTAGGAAAATGCTGAAATCTGTTTGTGGGGAAATCTTTAGGATAAAGACAGGGCACTAAAGGAGTAGAAACAGACCAAAATCCTTTAATGAATCATGGAATCTGTAAACTGGTATCAGATGTTCTCCATCATAGAGCCACAGAGAGCCTTAGCAACATTTCAGATTCTTCCAAATAAGGTAACCCCAGTCAAAAGCTATGCTCTTAAAGACAATAATTTCCTCTTACCTGCTCATCTACTTGGTTTAGAATGAACCAATTGTTTTCAGAACTAAAGTACCTTTATACATGTAAGATTAGAAGAATTGTAAAGAAGATTTCTTCATACACACATACCCCCACGCACCCCACATTTTTACTGAGTCAGACTTTCCAATGTCAGTTGGAGAGAAGGATTTATAATCCAAGAAGAGAAGCTGTCTGTGGTTTCATTTGGTGGTTATGGAGCAAGGAGGATGTGTTTTCTCATTGTAACATAGCAACTTGATTTCATTGCTGCTCCTCTGTCATATGTACAAGGGAGATGCCAAATATCCCCAAAGAGAATATTCCAGAAGGTGCAAAGATGGTCTTTAGTTAGCCTATGAGTTTACAGACCCAGAGACAAAAAAGTAACTACTTCATGTTTTATGGGAATTGTATCTAAAACTTGATTAGATTTAGTTAAACAATTTTGGCAAGAAAACTTCATGACACCACGATTTTATTTGCATCCCATCAGGAGACAGTGTATCACCAGAGATGTAGAGGGCCCCCAGTGCTCACTGGAGTCTTCACTCATTGCTATTCTCTGCAACAGCATTGGAGAGCTAACAAAGTAGAAAAATCATTTTATTTGACCGGTTACTGTAACATAAACTGTATTAATTGATGTGAGCTGTTTACTCTTCTTTCCTAATCAGAGAACAGATAATGAAAATGTGAAGTAAAACTCACTCTGTCGAGTCCAACTCTTTGCCACCCCATGGACTATAACCTGCCAGGCTCCTCTGTCCATGGAATTCTCCAGGCAAGAACACTGGAGTGGGTTGCCATTTCCTCCTCCAGGGGATCTTCCCGACCCAGGAATCAAAACTGAGTCTCCTGCATTGCAGGCAGACTCTTTACTGTGGAGGCACCAGGAAACCCCTATTAATGATTATATATTTCATTAACTCCTGAGCCTAAATCATTTTGTGATAAGTTCTATTTACTCAGACTGGAAAACCTTACACATGTAATCTTCATAGATGCTGTTAGGCCAAATAAACAAACATTTTTTTAAAAGAGGAATAAAGTGAGAATCTATTTATATAGGATTTACTAAGAAATTTGTCTATTTGATAAGGAAAATGAATGCAGGTGGGAAATCTTTGCATCTTTTTATCCCATCCTTATTATTCAATATAGTTAGAGGAAGACTCTCATTTGTTTCCTAATTGTTTATTGTTCCTCAGAGTGTCCCTCCCTTCCATCTACTGTTCCTTATAATACCGATAAGAAAAATTCAGATATTTCCCTTGGGCTACCATCTTGATTTTCTTCTATAGTGATGTAAACATTAGTCATTTCACTGCTATTTGATTCTTATGTTACTTTTTTATTGCCCTGGGTTATTTTCCCTGATCATAGGAAAGTAGAAGAGTCATCTATTTTCACATGAAGCAATCTTGATGTTTATACGATTATACTTGCAGGTTCCTCTCCTCCTTTCTTCCACCTGCTGCTCCATCACTTCTAAGTTTTTTACTGTTAATTTGTTTGCTGTTAAAACGGCAAAATATATTCTATTATTTGCTCTATGTGTAATT